GTCACATTTTGTTGTGCTTTTTTCGCTTTGTTTTTTGTTTCTATTGCTTTTTCCTATTGCCTTTTGCCTTTTGTTTTCTCTTCCGCTTCTCAATGACCTTGTGCTTTTTCTAACATTTTTATTGCGCTCGCCCACTTGTAATTCGCATTTTTATACAATTGCAAATTGTATATTATTTTTGTTTTATTTGTTTTGCATTTGGTTTTTGCTGATTTTGTTTCGTTTCGATTTTTTGTTGCCATTAGAACAGGTTTTGATTTGCTTGGTGTGGCATTTTTATCCGCCAGATACTTTTGTTAACTGTTTCTATTCTGCTGTCGTCGCAGTCCGTTTATCTGTGCCCGGTTAAATAACTGAGAAATCGCCATAACCAGACTGGACTTGGCGTGACTTTGTGTCAATGTTTTGTTGATTTATAAATGAGTTGTACTAAGCTTAGTTCGGTTAGTACAACGGTTATAAATCAATCAGCTGTTGGCTAATTATGCGAAAATCATTGATCGTAATTCAGGGCCATCGAGTTAGAGGGAATTTAATCACGAGCCGAGGAGTGGAATAATTGGCCAACATTTATCTGTAAGACCCTATGACCCTTTGGTTTAATTAGTTAAAGATCGAAATTGGAATCAATTATTTTTAAGGGTTCTTTAGAAGTTAACATTAACAAGTTAACAAGAAGTTAACAATTTACAGAATGTTAATTTGGCCTATAGTTTAGCCAATAAATATAAAAACCTTTTTAAAAGATGCTTAAGATGTATAATCTTTTAGTTATAGCCATGGGAATCCTTTCTAAAAATCTTAATGTCTAGAAATATGTAATTGTTTTAATATTCTGCTTGCATAATACGTTGATCGATGCGCAATCGGCGTTACATTGTATCTGTATATTATATTTAATTGTGTATTAAAATTTCAATAAATATTCAATTCGGTTATAAAACATTTGCTCAGAACACAGTTTGGATTGAAGGGAAATTAGCAGCAAGTAGGAGTATTTATTATTAGTTTGTATAACCTCAAGGTTGAAAACCCCAAGGCATCCCCACCCCCAAAGCCGGCCACTCTCACAATTTCTCTCCGTTCTCTCCGGCGATCATTGATCGGTTTTTATATGCCATAATCTATTTATTTATTCAATGGCACATAGTTCAACTAAACCTTAACAAATTACGCGTTTGCTTTTATTCTATTGAATAATGTAATTGCCAGTTTTGAGCAAAAATCAACATTTAGTATTGCTCTTTATGGGGAGTTATGTAAGCAAGAGGGAGAGCTCATTTTTGCCGGCAAGGTCGTTGTATGACTGGGACTAGGCCAGGCAATCCGGAAAAATAAGTCAAAAAACGTCTAGTGACTCAATTGAAAGTTGGCCAGAACGCAAAAAGGCAAATGTGTTTGCTCTACAGCTCAGTTCTTCCAAGCATTTCACATGCAAATTAAATTATAGACGCGGAATACTGTTTAAAAGCTTCTAAGCGGGTTTAAGCAATTTACCTTAGTTTGAGATAAAACAGAATATTAGAATAAGTAAACAATAGATGTAATTTTATATTTAAAGTCTTATACTTTTGTCAAAATTACAACAAAACGACAATTTCCTTAGAAATATTACAATCAAAAAATTTCATGAACCACATTTTGCATAGAAATATTAATTTTGATCAGGCTGTATAACTTTTTTTTCGTTATTTAGAAGTGAACATCGGAGTTGGCATAAAAAAATAAAAAGTAGTAACTTAATACTAAGTATAGCACTTGGTGTCAAAAGTAGTTTAGCGCGCTGTTTAATCTGGCACTTTGGATAACTGTTTGCATAACACTATATACTAGTTAATATAACCGTTTACACAACAGTTGTTCAACTCGAGCGTATTTAATATATTGCAGCTTGTCGAAGTGAACCGGTCGGGGTAAAAATGTAAATAAATAAACAATCAATGTTCGCCCTCAACCGAGTTAAGTTTTATGTTTTGTAATCCCTGCCTCAATGATGACGATCGGTAATTGCTTGACTTGGGAAATTAAGATATTTTGCAGATTGTTTAATAGTTAAATGGTTGTGCAATACCATACGGTTAAGTAAGAACCCTTTTATAGGCACAAAAAAGCTATTTGAAGTTAAATATTTTTTATTGTTGGTAATAACTCAAAATCAGGCAACAATGTTAAAAAGATAACATTTATAAATATAAAAAAATGTTTATCAAATATTTCTGGATAGTTAAAAAATATTACATATTTAAATAAATAAAATTAGTTATAACCAATATTTTTAAAAACATTCTACAAATTCTCATCTCTGGCTGTTTCGCTTTCTCCTCGTGAGTTTGTGGGCGAAAATTGCTCGCTGTCACTGGCGCAAAATGATAACAATGGAATATAAATACATTTCATGAGGAATATGGACGTTTATGAGTGCTCTTCACACACACACAACCACCCGTTGTTGACCCATTGCTGATATGTGTGATGCCTGGATCTGAAGGTCTCAAATTTGGCTTGACATTGACATTGAAAAACCGAGTGCCCTACAATTTGGCATATCCGACAGCGGGAGCAACAGGGAAATTAAAAAAAAATAAGGTAGTAAATTGGAAACCTCTCACTTTCACAACTGATGGAAAAAAGCAAATAAATCTGTCGAATCGGCTCGGTTGGCCTTGACTTTTATTTACTCAACTCGCAGACTCGTTTATTTATTAGCCAAGCAACAAAGGAGAACGGCAAGAACAACAAGCCGTAGTCCAAGAAATTGGCTCCCCGACTCTCCATATAAAGCACACACGCTCGTATATGTTGTATAACTAAGCGTATCTTGAGACATGTGCAAAAATATATATGTGTATATTATATATAAAACAAAATCAAGGCGATGAAATAAAAACCCACAGCTCAGCCAAATGAAATCATTAGAATACCAAGATTTCTCAGCCCGAAAATCATTCTCGACTGTCACTTTCATCCGTATCTCTTTCGCATTCGTAGAACAGGTTCCCCGCTTAGCTGGAAATCCCGGTCCAAACATATGATTTAACCTGACTAAAAATGCTGGTCACATAATCAACGCACTACGCTGGCTCGTTTATGTGGAAAAATAAACAAATAGTTGATTAATTAATGCTTTGGGGGAAGCCAAACAAAACACAACTGAAAGTGAATAATTTATGGAAACAATCGCAGCAGAATTCTCAATAATAACAGAAACCGAATAATGTTATAAGGAAATCGCAACAACGTGTGGAAGTTAGAATAACAAAAAAATCTAATTGACTATAATTAGGTGACAATCGCAGTTATTAATTTTGTGGCGAATTTGCATTTAAATGGATTTTTTTAAAATACCTAATAGTGCAGGAATACTAATATAACCATTACCTAATTGTTAGGCGTTGATAAACTTTAAATTGTTAATATAAAAATAATAAAAACTGAAATGAAAAAGCTTTGTTACTTAGACCTAAAACAGTTTTAAAACGGAAGCGGTGACCAATTAGCATTGTAAATTCCTCTCATCGAGTAATTCATAAACAATAAAAATCGAACAATGCAGATCTGGTATATATTTCATTTATACGCATTTTCACCCATATAGATTTAATTCCAATATGGATACGAAGCCAACAAAAGTCAGACATCACGTCAGAGGAAAGCAGAAAGGCAGACTGAGCGGCAAGTTTATTCCAGTTGAAGTTCAAGGTGAATGAGCGAGAGCGGCAATTGCTGAATACACACAAAAATTAACACAGATATAGATAGGAATATATAACATATATCTCGCAACCTTGGCAATGCTAAAAAGTGTGTCGAGATTGGGTGGAGATGGGAGGAGATTGTTGACCAACCCCCAAAAACAATTTCAATTTAAATTGATAATTAAATTTAAATAAAAATTCTGATTGAGGGTGCAGCACTGAAAGCAATGTACATATACATATGTATAAACAGATATTTATATATAAGATTCTTCAAAAAGCAATCCTAAATTATGAGGTAATCCAAAGATGAATTGAAATTATTTCGTACGAAATGTTTTTGGGCTTGAAACTTAAATCCCAAATCAGATAAGTGTCGTATGATTCCCATTTGAAACACGCCTTGCTTAGCTTTTCCACACGTAATCCCCCTCTTTAAACCATTGACCCAATCCCCAATTGAACTCGACTTTCAAAACGTGCTTTAATTTGTATTCTATTCTAGATTTTCTCGTTCGCATGTTGTAGAAAGTAAAATTACTCATATTTAGTTTGACCTTTTGGTGATTTCAGCACTACCGTTAAACCCATTCATTCCATAGATATGTATAAGTAAATTCATCATGTGCGACTACTAACTGTACAAACAGCTCTATTAACCGCTGACTCACGACTCACAAGTGAATACGTTTCAATTTCCTACATGTCAAGTTTGTCTGTCCCCGTTTTACACTAAGCTACGGACTTAGAAAGATATTAATTGGTTCTTTAACTTCCTTAAACTAAGTTCTAAAATAAATGTCAATTACCTTGCAAATATATGATAAATAACTTGGGTTTCTAAATACATTTAAGTATGTTTGTAATTTGTAATACTCATATCATTTTGTAATATTAAAAAAAAATAGATTGGTATTTGGTTATTTGGTAAGTAATCTTTTATATAAATGTATGGTCCAAGAAATAAAAGCCAAGCCACAACAGTCAAATTCACTTAAATGATATAACTCAAACTTTCTACCTAACAAGGAAGTTTAATTTTAAATATATTTTTCCCCCTGAACTATAATATCAAAATATAATTCAATCTATGCTTAAAATTGTTCACCAGATCATTAGCAAATTTGTAGTGCTATCCCAAAAAAGCAATTATAATCTTGTTGTCCAGTGTCCCTATATATTTCTGTGCTGTAGGAACCTGCCCACGGTTTATCCGACCATATAGCGATCGACAAGTGCCGTCAGGGTCAACAGGTGGCTAGTTTAACAGTTCGAGTGGCCTGTCTCGTGGCAGAGACGACTTACCTAGATCAGGAATGGAGCTAGACGGCTCCTCGCCGTTGCTGCTGCTGCTGCTGTTGGTGTTGCTGCTGCTCGAGCCGCTGCTGCTGGAGCTGGAGGCGTGTTTGACCTTGGGCGGAGGCGGCGGCGGTGGTGGCCGCATCACCGAGTTGCCCAGGTTCGATTGCTGCTGCTGCTGTTGCTGCTGGTGGTGCATGTTGCTGCTGTGCGCCATGTTGTTGTTGCTGCTGCTGCTGCTGCTGGATACCACGGGCGTGCGAAAGATGTGCGCAGAAGAAGAGCCGGCTGTTCCCGAGGAGCCGCTACTAGAACTAACGCTAGCAATCACATGTTGCTGGTGCTGCTGATGTTGCTGATGCTGCTGCTGCACCTGATTTTGCTGCTGGAAATGATTCGAGGCAATCACGTTTACGTGTCGCGTGCTGGTGCTAACCACTAGCTTCCTAGCCGCTGCAGTGGGTGGTGCAACACCACTGGAGACATATTGCTGCTGCTGCTGCTGCTGCTGTTGGGGTGGCGGTGGTGGTGGCGGTGGTGGAGGCGGCGGCGGTGGTGCCAAAGGTGGCGTCTGCCTTTGCTGATATTGCTGCTCCATGTAGGCAGCAGATCCACCTCCTGCTCGCCTGGCAATCACTGGGGATACGGGTGCCGATCTGGAGTGGTGGTGCAGTGGTGGTGGCGAAACCGAATGCCGACGAGCCACCACCACAGTGGTTTCATCATACAGCCGGCCATCGCGGATCACGCGGACATGTTGCTGCTGCTGCTGCTGCTGTTGGTGGTGCAGCGGTGGCGGCGATTGCTGTTGTCGCTGTGATTGCTGCTGCTGTTGCTGCTGCTGGTAGTGGTGCAGGGCCGAGGGACTGGCGGAATGGCGACGCGACAGGTGCTGGTTGGAGGGCAGGGTTCGGGTGATGATGATCTGGGGGGTGCCCGAGGTGGTGGTCAGCAGGGCGGTGGCCTCGGGTGGTGCGGATCGCGCTGCACCACCCACCTGTTGCTGGCTGTAGATGTGCTTGACCCCGCCGCCCGAGGAACTGGTGGCCCTCTGCTGCACATACTCCACGCGCGGGGTGAGGATGACCTTCTGGGTGCCGCCGGGCGTGGTCAGACCCGTGGGCTGGCGGGGCGGTACGGTCTGCACCTGAACGTGCGTGTACCGCTGGGGGGTCAGGCTGTTGCTGCTTGTGGGTTCCCGCTCCAAGTCGCGCTGCCTTTCGCTCTCCTCCAGATGCAGCATCTCGAAGTCAATGGGTTCGGTCTTGATCAGTTTCGATGCGGATGGCGATCCTACGGATGAGGCTGCGGCCGCTGCTGCCTGAGCCGCCTCCATGCACTTGAGTTTCTTCAACATGATATATCAAAATAGGGTTAATCGCTCAAAAATATCAATCTGTCTTAGATATATTATAAATATGTGTTGTATGGAAAGTTGCCTTTTGTTGCTTGTTTTTTTTTTATTATTTGTTTGGATTTGATCCTGAATCACTTTTGCCTCACTTCTGCTGCCTTTTTATCCTTTCCGCTGCTTGCTCTTTTTTTGTTTTTAAAATCAGTCTCTTCTTCTATACGCTTTTTGTTGTTGCTGTTTGTGGTATTTTGTAATTTGTTCTGCTTTTGGATTATCAAAAAATTAGTTTTGTCAGCCTTCAAAGTTGCAATGAAAAAGTTGTCCTTTTCTTCTGTTTTTGTTTTTTTCCTTGTATTTCTATTGTATCCTAGAGAATTTGTTGTTGTCCTTAGTCCTTACGTTTAGCTTAGCGTTGTTCCTATACCTGCCCACAGTTGCTTGATCCTTACCATATGTCTAAATATATACTTGTATCTGGTGTATTCTGGTTGAGGCTACTTCCGTTGACGATGAGATGAGTTCGACTGAGTTGCGTTAAGTTGAGTTAAGTTGGATGATCTCGTGCTGAGAGTTCGAGTTCTGAGGCTGATTCCGAGTTCGTTTTTAGTTGCTAATAATACTTGATGGTTTATTGTTTGCTGATCTATGCTCCGCCCGATCCACAGCAGCGTCTGAGTATGTTTGTAGGTATTTCTTTGAAGTAGCTGCAAAGGATAAAGCCATATTATAACTATTCTGATCCTAGCAGTTAAACTTAATAATTCCGAAATATAAATTTTCCCAAATGGCATTACTTACTTTTTTGCAAAATGAAGTATATCGCTCGATTGATTGTTGAATTGATTGATGTATTGATTGATTAAAATCGTTGAATAATATGTATAAGAATATATTTATATATTTGATGATCGTATTTAGGTGTGTATAAGGTTTAATCTTTTATTTGTTTGTTTACAAATTGATGGTTTAGTTATATACTCACTGCTTATACTATTTTATAATTTATACAAGTTACACGCTTCACAAGATTTATTATATCGACTGGTTTTAGTAATTTTATTCCAAAAATATATGAGTATATTTGTATAGATATTTCTTAAGATTTTGCACATGAAACACAACGCTTAAGTTGCTTTTTTTGTTATAAACTTTTAAACCTGAGCAGTAATTTTCGTTCACTTTGTTTTTGTTTAGACTTGCGTTTTTATACTTCCGCGGAGCAGTTGGTTTATTTGTTTATTAAACACCTCTAGAAAAATATAGTTGAATTGGGTTTTTTGCTTTATTTGAAGTATTTATTTTGCAGGGGGAGCGTTGTGTGAGCTTTGATAGATATTCAAGGGCCACTTTTCATATTAATTATATTTTATTAACAGCTTTAAGCTCATTTATTGGTTATTTTCACTTTGATTTTAATTTGATTAACTTGTTTTTTTTTGTGGTTTTGGGCTCTTACACTTGTCTCTGCTGACTTTTGACCTTTGTGCCTGGCAAACGCTGGGCGAATTTGTTTATTAGGAACAACTTATTGAAGCACATCGCGACGAGGTGACGAATAAAAAAAGGTTTCGTTGGAATTGCACAGCTGTTTTAGCGATATCTCCGATTTTCTGGCAACTTTTCACCGCTTTTCTTATATCGTATGGCCAACAGCTGAGGGTCGAATTCGAGTGGGCGGTCGGTAGCAACAGCTGGGCGCCCGGGAAGGTCGTTTTCCAGGGCGGAGTAGCAGCAGTGGCATCAGCAGCAGATACTTTTGGAGGACTACGGTTCAAGAACAAGGTCGGTTTGGGGGTAGTAAGGGGATGCAGGACGCAGGACGGAGGACAGGACCCAAGCAGCTGTTCGGCCTGCACAAGGACAAGGACGCTCACGAGGCGCAACGGATACGATACGAAAACGATACACGGACACGGTTACGGCCACGGCCACGGCTCAATGTGGCCAACACTTGGCGCCCTTGACAATGGGCTCTCGCTTATATAAGGAACCTTGGCGTGCTCCCATAATTATTGCACATTTTGCCCAATTTATGCACTCTCTTTCTTTTTGATTTTTTGCAAATTTTTCCCCTTTTGGAAATTTTTCTTTGAAATTCATTCACTCTCTTGCTCGGCTAGTGGGTTTTTTGTTTTAGTTGCTACAATCGCGGCTGGTAGGAATATAGTCGCAACCGTTGCGTTGGCCGTACTTTCTCTGACTGAAACTGCAAAAGCTCAGAAAGCCAGAACAGAACCAGAAAAGAGCGAAAAAATTGTAGTTGTCTCTCGCGCAAAAAGCTGCACAATGAAAGTGAAAACCATATGAAAAACGAGAGAATCTCTGGCTGCAAAGATTGGAAGAATTCGAAATCGAGAGCCCGGAGAGAGAGCGACTGCGTACGAGGAAGCTGGGGCGCAGAATACAACAAGCAAAACATAAATAAACAAAAATAAATGCGAATGAGCCAGCCAAAAGCGAAAGATTGTTAGATTTTTGTGGGTTGTTTTTTTTGTCGAAAGGGGGTTAACAAATTCTGGACTGGGGCAGTTCCAAAGGGGGAGTTTTTGGAGTTTTTTGAGGCATAAGGGTGGCTCATTACTCGGGGGTTGCTCGCTTTCCATTTGGGGTTTCACTTAACGGGGCTCAACTTCCGTGTTTCGGGTGCGTATGAGTAATATGCGTGCGGAGAGAGGTCTATGGGGCTGGGGTTTTCATTGGGTTTGGGCCACTCTGGGTTATTTTCTCTGGGTTAGGGCAGGGTTACGCATTGAGGTAGGTTCGGGGTCTGCAATGGATGAATGGAGCCGGATTGTAGGAAAGGGAATTTTGCGCATAAAATTAGCAAAGTTTGAGGGCTAAAAATAAGTGGGGAATGTTATTATTGACTAGCAAAATCTAAAGTGAATTATGTTGGTAAGTTTGGAGAGTTTTCGGTTAAAAATATAAATAAGAGCTCACAAATAAACGAAATATTAAAAAATATACAAGTGAATTTATAAAATAAAATTAATAAGTACTTCCTAATAAACTTATAAATATTAAATCTTTCTTTGATAGCCTTCTTAATCCCGTTACCAAATTCCATAACACGTGCCTTTTGCTTACTTTCACCTGCCCGTAAATAACTAACCAGAGCAATCATGTGACATTGTCAAAAGAAATGCATATATTTTCGTAGCGCCATGAGATGATGCATCGTGCCCCACAATTCCTAGTCGATTCGATGGCGGCCACATAGCGGAAGCTTCCGCAAACGTCAGTTGGGGAGACCTCCAAAAAAATATATGTAAAAATGCTATGCACAAACTAAACCGCTATTTACAAAACGAGCAAAGGCGATGACATTCAGTGTGCGACTGTGTGTGTGCACTCGCGTGTGCATGGCAACATTCAATAGCAGACTAATCAACAAACAAAATGCAACCTCACGAGTTGCAACCATGTGGAAATCGACAGAGGGAAAATACTAAAAATATTATTTAAATTGAATTACTTTTTGTCAAAAATTAATAATTTTAATATTAATAATTATTCCTTTTTTAAGTTTTCTTGCGACTTTAAGCTTTTACTAGACTGTCAAAAATTACAATATCCAAATACATCACTTTTAATAAATTAATAAAAAATGTTAAAACATGGACTTTTTTAAAGACAAGGAAAAATAATTCACTTAAAAGCTTGCTTATATCCTTTTTAATTCATCACAAATTCATAAATACTTTTTATATTTAAGTTAAAATACATTTTTTTATTAATATAAAATATTTGTATAATACCAAAATCCTATTCTTTTCTCCAAGTGCAAACGCACACATGGACACAAAATAAAAGCGCACACCCATTCAAATGCGGCAATGTATTGACCTTTACACTGAACGACATCGCACACACTTGCATTGCAAAATAAGAACTTGAAATAGAATAAATCGAGCGAGAGAGCAGTGCAAATAAAAAGAGAGCGCCGAGAGAAATAGACCACACGTGTGTGTGTGTTCAAGTTCACCCACACCAAGGCGAGGCTAACAGAGCGTCTACAGTTGAGCAAGCAGCGCACTGTTATCGCGCTGTAGATACCCTGTTAGGATTCCCCCCTCTACTTTTTGGGGTCTCGTCTCTGCATTTCTGCGGAGTTGCAGGGGGCGGTGGGTGGTGCTGGGGCTGGGCACTATATGCAAGGGGGTGTGGCTTGCTTCTAATGAGGGTTGCAGCTCCAGACGGAGTTTCGGCCCAGTGGAATGAGTCAGACAGCAGTGGACTGGGCCCAAAAAGGAGCTTACTTAGCAGGAAGGATAATAGCCCTTGTGTTCGATTTTTATTTAAATAGTCAATATACTTGAGCATCTAATTGAGGGCTTAAGCGCGAAGTCCGAGAGTGAAAGGTCAAGCCTAATTTTGGAGTAAGGGGTTTTACACAAAAAGCTCTTTGGAAGGTTGGGTAATTCTCTTTCTTTTCAGTTCGAATATCGAAATGTTTCCCAAATATTTTACTAATGTCTTTATTTTCCTTTTTAGGAATTATTGTTTTTGAGTTATACTTTCTAATACCAATTTCAATATCACTTTCCTCATCTTTAATAGTTTATTTTTCTGTATTTTTCTCTTGGTCATTTAAACTTAGATCTTGGTTTCGCTAATATAAAAAATAACGATATTCAGTTTTTGTATTAATTTAGAATACAATTTGTTTTGTTGATGAAGCTATCCGATTTATGTTAAGAATAATTACCCGTACTTAAAGCGAGTAATAAGGAATTCTCATATAGCTTATGTATAATCCGTTTCAGATTGCATTTGGTTAAATAGTTTTCAATTTATTTATGTTTTACACATTTGCACACTTTTTACTTATTAAGTTTTCTCACAGAGCTTTTAGTTTTAATACTTTTTTAACAATAAAAGATCTCCATTCACTCACAAGGCTGTTTCCAACTAGATGTTTATATTTGTTTGAAATGTTATTTTTAAAGCACAGATTGTTAGATGCAGTTCTCATTAATTTGTTGCCATTTAGAATGTGTTATTGCTGCCACTTTTCTGCATATGGTTAATTGAGCCATCCTTGATCATTATTAAGAAATTATTTCCTTAAATTGGCACACAAAGCTCTCACAACACTGCACTCAATCCAAGCCATTTCCACGTACAAAGAGTCCACTTAATTGCACACATCCCGCAGATTCTTTTTGCATCCGCATCCAGGGGATTGCAACTTGGCCCGATCGAATTCTGGTGTTAACAAACGAAAGTTAACCGCCGATTGGTAAGACGATTGCGCAGAAGAGGAAGAGCGCGACAGAGGACGGAACGCGACGGTGCGTTCCACATGACGTATTCAAAATGACTGAGACCGAGACTCGACTGCAAATTTTCGCAAAAGTGAAAAATTCTACTTTCAATATGAAAACGAGCTGCGCTGCTGCCGTCGACGCCGACTGCGCTGCCCGGGCGGGAGTTGTGCAGCAGCAGCGCACTGTGGGTGTGGGTAAGGTAGGTCGTGGTATGGGAATGCACAGTGGGCACAGGGAGAAAAGGGAGAGAGCATCGCAGAGAGCGCGCGAGAGAGCGGAAGGCATCACAGAACCTGCAGCGAATGCAGAGAACAAAGCGGAGCAGAGAAGTCAATGTACAAAGCAGATTGGGGGTGCAATGGACGGCGCACATGGAACTCAGACGTGGATGTCCCTACAGTGGGTACCCGCTAGCAACGACTCAAAAATGTTTTCAATATTTTCTAGTTAAAAATGAAAATGTAGGATAGCAGACTACATTGAACACATTTTATATATTTTAAGTATTGTAAAACGCAGTAAAATAATTTAGCTAAAAATAGAAACAAAATATTTCGATATTTTAAGAAATCTATAAAAATATAATGGAAACCTATGTCTACACTTTTATGCCATAGCATTTATAACAAACAGGTTTAACTTTAACAATTTTTTAATAGAAAATAATATTTTGGTTCCCAAGTTAAGGCTCAGTCGCAAATTCTTCAGATCTTCGTGATCTAATATGAGTTTTTCTCCATAAACCTCTAGAAAATTGCGAGAGTTCAAAATCTTGACACTGCAAACTGCACTGTACCATGCTTTCAAAGCTTTGTACCCATGTTTCTGGTCTATTCTGTAGATATCGTGGTTCCCGGCTGGATCGACTTGCCCCTTTTGCGTGCTTCTTTTGGGGTTGCAAAGTTTTTGGCATTCCGGGAGTTGTCGTAGCACAGAAATTAAAAATAATTGCAAAAAGTCGGCGAGTGGGTGGATTTCTCCGGTACTTTGGTTCTGGTTCTCGGTCCTCTGTCTGTCTGGAGTTGCAACCCCTCGGGCAACGAAATGAAAGCAAACTTCAGACTCTACGACTTGGGGTGTGGAAAACGAGTGGGAATCAAAGGAGTACGAGGTGGAAAAGCAGGAAAAGGAGTAAGAGGACAAGCGGTTTCCTAGACACTCGATGGGCTACATTTTGTTTGGTAAGGTCGGTCCAAGGCAGAGATACTTCCTTCATGAGCTTCGATTTTGGCCAATTCTGGGGGTTGCACTAATGGAGTTGGCTTCCTTTGTTCTTCAAGCTGTGGGGGAAGTTTTAAGGGAATAGTTCCCTTGTAACCTTGATTTTCTTATTTGCTATTTTTGTTGACAAGCAGATAACAAGTTTTCAAGAACCTATAATTTGTTCACCTTACAAGTTTAATTACAATCTGGGGCTCTACGAGTATCTCTACCAGACTTGTTCCTACCAAATGTCCTTAAAAATTAGCTTTGAACTTAGTTCGAAGAGATTTCTGTAGCAAAAGGTAAGGGGCAAGCTTACGGTTTCTTTATTACTAATGTTTTCTTTCACACACAAAACAATATAGGAAGTATAATTTCAAATTTGCAAAGAGCAATTAGTTAATTCCTTTTAACCTTGTCAAAACCCTTCGCAGATCTGTTCGCATTTAGAATATGTAACTTGTCTCATTTTGATGCCAAACCTTTCCCATTGAGGACCTCCAAATGCAACGAGGGCATCGCATTGAGACACTGGCCCTGGCAGCCACAATATAATAGTGGCCAAATATCATGGTCAATGACAGCGTCGTGAAATTTGCAACTGCCGACACGTGGCAGGGGCAACCAGACACCACCCTTTGGTTCTTTGGAGGGGATGCCACCCTCGACCCAGCCTGCATCTGAATCTAAATCCAGTGAAATATCTCGTACTCTCTCTCTGCAGAGAGCGGAGGTGCAATAGCGCATGTTTGGGAGCTGCAACGTTGCAGTTGCCACACGGCTGCACGAAGGTTAAAAGAGTTTTCAGGGGCACTACGGGACTTACAACTGCTTCACCCGGCGAGGACCAAGGACCAAGGGCAAGGACACGCAGGCATGCGCATTTCCGCATCCGTCGTCGGGTCCTTGGCTCCGATTCGGTTTAGTATTCGGATCCTTGGCTAGAAGTGCCTCATTGCCAAGGTCCTAGGCGTGGGGGAACTAGTGCAGCCAACTATGATATGCAAAAAATAGCTATTTTTAATTTTATATAAAAGATATTAAGTATACATTTAGAGTACCTACCATGGAAAGGTATACCCAAACCATATTTATTTGGAATTTTTTATAAAAAAAAATGTTTGATCCGTAATTTAAAAAAAAAATTTATAGCTAATTTAATTTTTTTAGCTTTTAAATTTTAAAAAGGGTCTGCCATGACTACCTTAGATAGCACTGGCTGTCCCTCACATTTTATTCCATGATGCAGCCGCCGAACTCCTGCAAATGACATTGAGTTGGTGGCAGACAGTGGGCGAAAAAGGAAAGGGAGTGCGTGGGAGGCAGATTAATTTCAGGGCTGCACTTTGCAGTTGTTTTGCATTTCCTTGGCAAATTGTTAACTGAAATCACCCATTGCACTGCAAGGATATATGCCACACACGTGTCACCCACACCCACTCACGCGAGCACGGAAATTCGACATTGCCCCGATGGCCATTAAAAGGTCAGCAGATACAAGTCCTTGTCTAGATGTGGATTAAGATGTAGAAATAACAAAATGATATAATTCACTGGAATATTTTTAATTATTTTAAATGGATTCGAAATGTATAAAGGTAATTTATAATCAGATTGGAGCATATTTAATTTTCTTATGATAATAAGAACTAAAACTCGTCATTGCCCCGATGCCCACTTAAAGGTCAGTATATAAAAGTCCTTGCCTAGATGTTGATTAAGATTTAGAAATAACAAAATTGTATATACATTCCAGTAAGTTATATTCTAAACGAATCCCAATTATTACGAAATTAAAGTTAGATTAGCTGAATCATTTTTGAATCTCTTATGGGTATTAAAAAAGGCAATATTACAACTAGGTAAAGCTTAGTTAAAAATAATCGGTTACATAATATAGAAACTATTTGAGTAGTAATTCAAAAAATCATGTAGACTTTTGGCAAGGCAATCAAAAAACCTATTGTCTCTGTCAACTTAGAGACCTCCAGACTAGAGCGATTTAGACAAGTCCGAATTTACAAAGTGCTCACACTAACGACATTTCAATATCAGACCCAAGCCAATTATTGGGTCAATGTGCGTGCACTGAACTGATTCGGCCAGAAAGCCAAGTCAAAGCGTAAATTGGCCAAAAGTGTGCTATAAGTCAGTCGCCTCCAGAGAGTTCATTGCGACTAATTCTCATCGGGATGTGCGGAGCAGGAGAGCAGGCCTTCCAGAGGGTACGTATTTTGGTTTATTTATGGCTGAGCGGCCTTCGGGTCGATGACTCAGAGGGAACATTTGGGTTCCCCCTCGATTAGGGTTCGCCAAAAGTTTATTCTCTTGTCCTGCGTACGGCTTATCCTGTTGGCACCACTCGGATCTAAATTAGATTAGATAAATTTAAAAATTTGATTTGATTAGCAATTAAAATTGAACTAACAGCCAATATTTTGTTTAATTTTAAAATAGTATTTCTTTATAAATAATGATTTTCCAAATATATACTACTTTTTTTTCCCTTGTTAAAATGATAATGAATTTGTTTTAACGATTTTAAATAATTAATTTTATTACTTTTTAACAGCACTAAATTGTATTTATTTCTTTGTTATATGAAATCATTTCTACAATCAAATTTTTTTTACATGACTTAAATTGTAGAAAAAATTATTAAATTAAAAAATAGAGGAGGACAAACCTTTTACTGCAACTTCAGATTTTCCGTGTGTTCGAAGGCCTCTCATTGATGTTTGTCCTGTTTTATTATTCCTACTTTCAGCCAGCAAAGGTGAATCATTGTTCCATAAACTCACACTTTTAGTCTGCCAGCCCTCTAGCACCGGATGAGTAAGCCAGGGAATTCGCGGCCAATGTTGTTGAACCTCCTAGGGGCATGTGTCCATTGCACCTGACACGCACTCCTGGATAGAAAGGAATATATTCAAACGGATGGGTATGGCGCCAAAGTTCAGGCGCAAGTTCAAAGTTCGTATCGGATTTGGGTTTGCTTGGACAAAGGTAATATTTATTAAATGCATTTAGGGAAGACAGGTAAGCTTATTCACTGTAGGCGTATATATCGGTTTCTTATATATTTTATTTAGCTGTTATAATCAAGGGTGAAAAATTCAAATCTAGGATGGATCTTCTTTTCCATCTTAGAGCTATCCTCCAAAAGCAAACTGGGAAATATAACAAAAGTATCATTAGGAAGATATTAATTTTACTACTTTAAGATCGGATTACACTAGTGAAATGTCTATATGGGGTTTTTTGCAAACAAGTCTATTGTATCAAATTTCTTGTAAACATATATGTACATTTTATTTAAAAATATGACTTTCTTTGAACAATTGATATTCTAACCGCTTTAAATTATTTAACATTTAAGGTATTTCTTAAGCTTTACAATTTTAAAAAAATTGGTATATATATAAATATGGTTAAAATGGAACAAAATGAAATCATAAATTTTACAATCATCAGAATTTGTAGAGGTAAAGCGTGTGGATCACTTCAGGATAAGATGTCCGTTGTAGCTGAAAAACATAAATGAAAGAACAAAAACTGTATGTAATGTACAAATGGCAAATTCAACTCACAAATCGTCGAAGCCATCTTAGCTTATCTCGGCAGTACAATATCAGTTCAAAAGGTTCCTTTCGCATTGCTGCATTAACCTTAAGAATATCCACTAAGGAGGTAACGAAGGCTTGGTAGATTCTTATACCACCCATGGGAGTGGAAAATAATTGCAGTTTTTGACAGCTTCGGATCACCTGAAGAAAACTGGGCCCATCGAATGGTGCCGGTTCACAACTCTCATCTATTTCCTCTATATTCTTGCCATTCTTCAAAATAAAGCTGCAGACGTAACCTCTTATTCTGCATTTGCAAAACTTTATATAAAGAGATTTTAGCTTCGGACAATCGGGTAATACTGTGGAGATTTCGCAATTCTGCATTTTAAAATCTTTTAAGTTTGGCCATATCATGGGATGAAACCCATCTGGTGGAGATATACAAATATTGCTCACAGTCAAGCACCGGAGATTTGTCATCTGTCCACAAATCTGGAGGAGATTAACCGCTCTGCATCTGTATCCCCTTCCTTGGTAGTCGAGTCTTAACTCCTCAAGAGCAACTAGTTTGTGCAGCTGGTTTACTATAAAATTAAATAAATTAGAAACAACAAACTCTTACATATATATTTTAAATACTTTTTTTTTACTTTATACATACCTTAGTTTAAAACTCTTAAGATATTCATTTATTTCGTGTTTTGAATAAGTACATATGTATGTATACATTAATAATACAGAAATTGATTCCTAAATGTTTAAATATATTAACAAAACTCTCACTGGTAAGCTTGAAGTCGAAATTGATTTTAATACGAAACTAGGAGCCAAAACAAAATCGACAAATATATAGTTGGGATAACGTTATCTTATATTCTTTTGTAATATCCACGAAGAAGAATTCTACCGTTTATTACCTCCCGAACTAGAATATGAACAGCCGCTTATCACATTACACTTTGATCTATATTCTTTTAACCCATTAATGACTAGTGATGGAATTCAGAAAATGTATTTAAAATTGTAAGTGCTTAATTATTATTTATCATACATAAATAAAGAACTATTTTTAAGAAGTAATTGAAAGTGCCAGATAAAAAGAACTATATTTCCTAATATAATACATAATCCATTTATAAAAAATTTTTAATGCTCACCTCCTCTGTCTATGTATCCTTCATACAACAGTTTTCTCAAGTTTTTCAGTTCTGCCACGGCATTCAGGATCCTCGGCGATTGGCAACTGTCGTTGAGTTTTAGTTCAACCGAAATTAAAGATTTTGCCATGTTGAGCAGAAAGGAGTGAACGCTATTACTGTTCCTCAAAGTAACACTAATGTTCACCGACTCCAAGTTGGGACAGTTCTTCGCTATCGATTTGGCCAACAGATCGCTCCAAGTGTCCGACCCACATGTGAACTCCACAATTGATGGACCACATTCCGCCAACAGAACACGATACAACCGAACCGGAAAATGTATTTTTGGGGAGAACCTCCTGTAATCACTGCCGCTGTGGTAGGAAAACGCTTGTCCCAGATATTCATGGACCTGCGCCAATCGAAGTTTGTCTCTCAGATTTCGTAAGTTCTTAAATATTAGATCGAGGACTTCGAGTGGTAAATCGGTTAAGGTCCGTTGATTTCTCATCGCAGGTACCCATACCCTCGAGAGCGGGGGGCAAACTAAGAACTGATGCAAAATGTACTTTTTCTTACCTCCGAAGAAGAGAGGCAGTCGAGATAAGAGCGAAAACGCTTTTAATACCGCATACTTTAAACTATGTAACAGGGTATCCAAGTCACAAAACCCATTTATGTTATTTGGAAAGTCTTCTTTAAAGTACCGGAATAAGTAGATAAAGTGCGTATGTAAAATATGAATGTATATACTTACATTTCATTTAAAATCCAATCTAATTAGTAATATTTAAAAAGGTTTTGGTAAAAACTAAGTTTTTTATAGTAAATGGGTGTTTTTATTTATATTTAAGCTTGGACAGCTCCTGCTGCAAGTTGACAAGTGGAATAATCCAAGTCAAATTAGTATAAAAACAGAAAACATATTGTAAAGGTGAGATTAAAAAGCCTTTTATTATTATTATAGTAACAAAACATTTAATTATGTATATATGAGTAGGTAGGTATTATTATTTTAAGGAAAAACTCTTGAATAGAATCCTCAAGTACCACCCTCATACAATTCGATCAATTCTGCATTGGGGGTTCGAAGAAGCTGAAAATAAACATGAAGATATATTTTGAATTAACTTACTTTTTAACACTCACTAATCTTCGGAACCATTTCCATTTAATACGCCTACTTATAACCAGTTCTAAAGGGTCCTCACGCGTAACTCCATTCTCCTCTAGAATTTCCACTATGGTAGACACATAGGTTGAATAGAGTTTTATGTACTCCATTGGAGTATAAAAGTATCGCAATTTGGGACATCCTCGAAGCAGTTGAAGAAAGCCATCGGCATTAATTGGAGGATCGCAACTCTCATATAATGTTTTAAGATTTGCTCCATTTTTGAGAATATATCTTAAAACATAGCCCTCAGTACGACATTTAAGGCTTTCAATATCCAAGTATGTGAGCTCTGGGCAGTCCGGCAGTTCGATGGACAATTCGCATCGAATCAATGACAGAGATTTTAAAGCTACCCACATCTCTGAATAGGGTTCTTCTGACGAAACTATTTTTATGTTGGACGCAGTTAAGTCTCGGAGTTTCCTTAGTGGAGCACAAATCTTTAGTAAGTCGACAGAAGTTTTTCTTAGATAATATTGGTTTTCAATAGCCAGCTTCTCCAGGGCGACCAAATTCCGTATATGGTAAACTAAAAAACAATTTAAAGAATATTAAATCTAACATATCGATTTATGCAAATCAAATAAATTTAAATAAGGTAAATACACTTGGCAATAAATTACGGATTGAATATTTTCTGCTTTACTAAACTCACCATCCTCGTCAACATTTCCTTTAAATGATAATTTTCTTAATTGTGTATTTTCGCTGACCGTTTTCAAGATTTCTTGTGGAAAACCTTCCCTTTGGTCCAATGTAACCGATATTAAAGAGCTTTTCATCTTCACTAGAAAACACTGAATGCTCTTAACGTCAGACCTATGAACACAAGTTGATAACGACTTGAGATTAGGACAGTGCTTAACAACAGCCTGCGCTATAAGATCGTTCCAGTACAATCCGGTAGAGAGTCCATTGTAGAATAGTTCCTCAACTTCTGAACCACATTCTTGTATTACGAATACCCACAATTCGGGGGTTAGTTTTGTACTGGGCGCAAGTTTTCTGAACTCATTGCGGCAATGAAAGGCAAAAGCTTTTCCGAGCTTTTCACAAGCCTGAGCCAGGCTCACTTTATATTTCAAGTAACTAAGATTTTTGAATATCAGATCGAGGATTTCGAGCGGCAAATCGGCTATTGTCCGTGTGTTTTCCATTGCAAGCTTTTCGCTCGGGAGCGATATGCACACTGAGAACTGTGGCAAACAACTTTCAAAGAGAGGAATGCATTCGCGAAATCTAAGAGAGGAAAGCGAAAATGCTGTTGACTGCACTCTTCTTGCAGTTCCCTACTTTATCTTAACTTAGGTGTTTATGGTATATTTCATCACAGCACAGGAAGTTGTCATAACCAGCGTGACCGAATATGGTAATTTAAATACTTTTTGGTATTTTATCTGCTTTGATTTTGTTCAAAATTCTTTTAATGGTATATAGGTATTTAGTAGCATTTTTCTTAGATTTTATGGTATTTTCGGCTTGGTCACACTTTAACATGTCAGAGTTTTTAAGCCAATTTTAATTTTATTTAAACTTAAACTTAAACGATGCTCAACTTCTCCAGGGCGATACATTTTTCTACGTGACGCACTAAAAACCCTCTAAGAATTTAATCCAAACAAGGAAGTAAATACAACACAAACACATTTCAAACACACATTAAAAATTAAACCAAGAATTGGAAATATGCCAGTAACTTTAAAACATGATAATGAAAATATTTATATATTATTTAAGCCCTTACGCTGAAAAGACTCACCGTTTTCGTCCACATATCCCTTGTGACAATGTCTGTAACTGGGTCATTTCACCCACCACTGTCACAACTGTCTCGGCAATCAGATCGTTTCAGGAGTAACCCGAGTCACCGTAGACATACTCCTCAATTGTGGGTCCGCATTCCGCGATAGACTTCTGAACTTATTGCGACAGTGAAAGGCAAAAGCTTTTCCGAGCTTTTCATGAGCCTGAGATAGGTTCACTTTATCTTTCAAGTAAATAAAGTTCTTGAATATCAGATCGAGGATTTCGTAGGGCAAATCGGTAATAGTCCGTTGATTTTCCATTGTAAGCTTTTGCCTAGAGAGCGAAAGCCTACTGAGAACTATGTCAAGATTCATTGTGTCGAGAGCCGAATGCAATTGGCCACTCTAAGAGAGTGTAAGCGGGAATACTTTTGATTTCTTATCACTGCAGTTCATTAGCTAAATCTTGGATAACTGTTTAATTACGGATTCTGCGATTTAATTCTTTACATCATATGTTACTTTTCCAAAAATTTATTTAGGTATCTGGTAGAAGGTTTTGCAAAAATGTTATTCCAGATTATAATATTGCCATACGATGATATTGTTTATGTAACTTTCTTAATTATGCCTGTCTATCTTAAATATCTAATACATTTATCGAAAAATCGTTTAAGTTTTGCCGCTTTTCCTTGGTTGCACTTTTTCACGGAGAGTTAACTGAAAACTGAAGCAAAAGGATCTTTTTCTGACCAAAGTCGACACTTTTGAACGGAAAGACTGTATGGATGAGAGATTGCATCATTTTTTTTAGTTCACTGCCCTTTTGCATTATTTTGTGATAAAAAATGGTTACAAAATTAAAAAATATTGAAAAGTTTTAATTTATTAATCGGAAAACGAAAGGTTTTAAGCTTTTTATATATTTCTTAACATTGATCGAAGGTCTAGATTTTTGTAGAGTAAATCTAGTTATTTTATTTCAATTTTCAAACTATGAGAGTTGAATGCGATTAGACGAGCTATTTTCTTTGTGGTTATTGAAATATAAGAACTAGAAATTCAAACGGTTATTGTCAAGTGTGATTGTATTACTTTAATCGCGATGCAAACTGAGAGTTACAGTTTTGAGAAGTCAAAAATAGTGTTTGTACATCATATATGTGCAAATGCTTTAATGACATTATGTATTACTTCTGTAAAACATATCCTTAAAATAGACATATTAGACTTTTTTTATAAATTGTACCTCCATAAAAGTTATGCGAATATTTTAAGTATTCAGATAAAAGAAACCACATTCAGTATACTGATTTACATACTCATCAGGGTCTCCACTCCTACACGTACTTAAAGCCAAGTCCAACTGCGGCTTGGCCCCAAAGTTGACTGCGTTTAATGGCCACTTACTTGGCCAACAGAACATCAAGCAAGCTCTGCACTATGATATAGATTACAGTAATTATGCCGCCGTAATGCACCAACCCTTGTGACAACCCCAACCCCTTTCTTTCCACTCTCGTGCTCTCAAACCAAGCAGTGTCTGGGCCCAGACAGTTGGCCTCCTTCTCCACCCAAAACTTTCGCTAATTTGTTATGTTGCAGCAGTAAACAAAAAACTGCACTGGCTTGAGGGAGGAGACAAGGGTTGAGATACACAGAAACATAAATATGATTTCTGTTAGAAATTTCCGACCCCATAGAGTAAAGCCTCTGATGATTTAGTGATTACAATTTTGAGGTTATACTTGCAATTATAACTGATATGCTTCTATTTTGTCAATACCCATTGGCCTGCCTTACAAAAATTCGTCACGCTCATTCTAACGCCCACAAATCGCCCATATTAGTCATGTGTAAAGCCATCTGGAGGTATATTTATTTTAAATTTGATTAAAAATGTAATGGGTATCTGTTAGTCGAGGCACTCGCTTAGCGTACTCTCTTGATTATTTTTTATTTCCCCAACTACTTAAGTGTATCAGTTTACTATCAGTAGATCACATTATTTTTTTAATATTTTAAAGCAAATTTAAAAATGCAAGTTACAATGGCTAACGATTTAATCCATATTTTTTCCGGTGTAGTGGCAGGGCTGACACTTTTGATGCCAGTTGCGTGATAAGAGACGACCAGATGAGCCGGTGACGCAATGCAGTGCAGCATGGAGGTCAATAAACCAAGCTTAATGTTGCAGGAACGGCGAAAAATTTCACGAAAAAAGGGTTGTAACCGTCTACAGGGGATATCACTTGGCTGATAAGGCGCAAAAACCGGGTTGAAATTTTGTATAAATTAAAATGTTTTCAATTTGTACATGCTTGCTAATCTTTTGGCATACTAAGAGGTAAATAGGTTAAAATGGAACGTCAAATACAGCCATTTATACAAAAAGTAAATAAAAAATTTATTTAATTTAAATTAAAACTTTTAAAATTATCAAAAAACGTTTTACTAAATTGTCTAGTACTTAATATATTTAATTCTGTATCAAATGATCTGTGCAAAAAATTAACATCGTGAAAAAAGGAAACATTTTGTAAAACCGAAAATCCTTTAGAAAGCTTTTCGAGAAAGCAGTTTGAATACTTTCCAAATGTAGGAAGATAGCTTTGTTGCCCACAAAGCAACACCTGTTCCCAGATCTTTTTTATTCCCAGTTTGGAAAACACAAGTCTTGCCGGCTGGTTTCGCTGCAGGATAATTTGACATTCGAGGGCAAAGGGAACCGAACCACCCAACGTTATTTCAGAGCAATTGCAATAAGCAAAAAGGGGTAGTAACTTGCATACTGCAACTGGCAACTGTGACTCACCTCACCTAGTTTCCACTGTGGAAATGGAGTGGAAGTGCGGGAAGTTGCACAATAGGCTGGCTGAAGTGTCTTTTGCCACTTGCAACTTTCTCCATTTCTCCGGTATTAGCGCACACTCTCTCCCTCCCAGAACTTTCCCTGTGACGAAGTCGGGCTGAAGAAAACCCGCCCAGCCGGTTCTTGGGTAATCTGTCTAAGCAAATATTGCGCGCCCAGGTGAATGCAACTAGTTTTTCCAGCACTGGGGAAAAACTCGCAATGGCAATGACCTAACAGACTTAGCCTTGAATCTGCTGGAAGTGGAAAACCAGTTGGTGGCTTCAGAAGAATATCAAGTAGTTTTTCCACTAGCTAAAAAAGAAATGAACATGCAGCTAATCAGTTTGTCTATGATTTTTCGAAGTTGGTTCCCAAACATTTAGAAATTGTGAAATCTTTAGAGAGTTGGCAAAATGCAAATTTGTAAGCTATTTTCTATATTCAAGTTTAAATAATAATAATATAATAAAAGTTGTTAACATTTTGGATTGATACATAATATGGAAGATTAGATTTAGATACATTCTTATCTATTTGGGAAAAATAATTTAATAATATATTTCCCTATTAAACGCAGGGAGTCTTAAGGCTCGTTCTATATTATCTATGAATCTACTATACCAGATGGCGGTCTGGTTTTCCCTGTGACACTTAAGTAACCTTATTAAGTTTTTTTTCAACCTCTTTCGCCGATAATAACCATGCCCTTGGTCAAGTCCAAAGCGATTGATGCCAGACGAGTTTCGAAATCTCTATTAAACTATGCAATATCTGGTTAACATCTTTATGGGGCCCTTGTCTCGGCTCGGTGACGCCAAATGAGCTGTCGACACCGAACCACCACCCACTGACAAAAGCTCCGGCGCATTGATAAGACAACTTTTACTTTAGTGAGGAGCGAGCAGCAGAATTTTCTAGTTTTCACTTGTCACACAGACGAGGTGGGAGTCTGAGTGTGGGTCCTTTATTTTATTATTTTCTCCTTTTTTTCTGGGTGCGGCACTTTCTAATACCCCGGCATTGGCGGAACAAGCAGTTCAAATGAGCCAAAGGGCGGGAGAAAGGAGGAGCAGAGTGCAGCAGGAGCTGAGGGGCGAGACTCCTGGGAAAGCCTGGTGGTATGGGTAGGTCAACCACCAGACATTGAACCCAGCACTCACACACACTGGCGCACGCCAACTTCCGTTGAGAGCCAAGAGAGAATCGCAAAGAGAGGGGCGCTGGCATGGGGGATCCCCCAACACACGCGAAAAGCGTGCAGCACGTGAATGGAGCCACATGCACAGCAGAAGAAGACGGAGAGAGAATAAGCAGGGCAACGTCTGCCTTGGGGGGCGAAAGAGAGCGCAAGAACGACTGCTTTGAAGACCGACTTTCAGAATACCCTGAGAAAACCGAACTTTGTGCTTTCCAATAAAATACAAATATTTTATCTTTTGGTAATTAATAAAATATACTTCTTTATTTGGTTTGTGGTTTAAGAAAGGTCTGTGAATCTGAGCACGCTTGAAAAGCAATACAAAATGGTTCCTACAATATGCAACTAAGTTTGTCTTGTTATTGAGCAAAATAAAAAAAACGATTCTATATAGCTACAATAAATTAATTGGGATAATCAAATAAAACTAAATATTACAATTTATTAGAAATAATTTATACCCCGTAATTTTCTTTTTTTTTATTTGGAGTAATTTATTTTCAAGGTAGCCATAAAAAAGAAAATTTCAAATTAGTATAAGGCAAAGGGCAATAAATTTAATGAATGACATAAGGAATCTTTTTACCGCGGCTAAAATCCAGACCTGGATTCCGGGTTTAAAAATGTCTGCCTTTTGCCAAAAATTATATACTTCGAAGGAATTCAGATAGCACACTTACTCGAAAAATGTATCTTCAGTTTCGATTTTTAATATTTAAGGACTAATTGTGCGAGTCAAACCGCATTTCTGGTGTTACGTCCTTAGCTTGTAATGTTACTAAAACAAAAACTAAACATAAGGTTAGTTTCAAGATACGATTTCCGTCGAAAAAAACCGACATTTTGTACTTTATTCATATATGTATCTTCAAGAATATTTACTTAACGCTTAAATTTCATTACACACTTTTTCTTTCTTCTTTCACAAACCAATATCATAACTGGCATCCAATTTTTGGAAGATTTTTAAAAACAAATTGTTAAATGCCTAAATATTTCTTAAAATAAGACGGAAGAGCTCCTTACGGTGGTTCAGCGTTTATAGTCCGGGGAATACTGTTATCTATAATCCGTAATAACATATAAGTTCCAGTATCTTTAGTTCCAAGTTTCCTTTTTAAATACACATATTTTCGGTATGCACACACAATGAACCACTAAATCGGGAAAACAGTAATATGAAAATAAAAATTAGTCACTGGTCAAAAATATACTGGCCCCTAAATATATGTGTACATAGTTGAAAGCCCAATGAAAACCTTGTTTTATTTCATACATATAATGAATAAAAGTAATACAAAAATGTAAACTCACCTGTTGGAAATACTGCATATACGTTTAATATTGGAAAAAAATAGGATACAACTTTTCCAAACTTAAAAAGCATCTTCGAACCCTATACAAAATTTAATTAAAATATTACTTCATATTTTAAATTAAAATTTTGTTATCTAACCTTAAATATTGAAATCAGCAGGAGAATCCCAGCAGAAACATACGTTATGGAGAAAATTAAATGAATAATAGTAAACACAATGCTGTTCAAAAAATGCCTTTTTTTCTCAAATTCGTAAAATATTGCATACGTTGCATGAAGAATGTGCAATCCACCAATAACTATGCACCAAATTGCGTAGAACTTCACGTAACAATAAGCTGGAATTTGGCTATAAGACTTACACATAGCCAAAATGTATACAAATTTGGTTTTAAAGTTTACCTTTCAACTTAAAGATGATTGAACAATTCAGTTAACTATGATTTTCACAAATTTTCACATTCTTTAGAACCTCCTATATAGCAAAACAAACCTGTTTTGTAGTAAGCTAAACATTTAATAAGTCGGTAAAACTCAGCATTACAAACAATTTTTAAAAACATTCGCATGGTAACAGACTGTGCAGATTAGTCCTTGTTTTGCGATTTCTAAGAATTTTTCCGAAATTGCACACTTCAACAATAGATTTATAGGGTTGCCAGAATTGTGAAGTAATCCAAAACACGAGTCGTCGTACGGTTTTTTAGCGGAAGGTCTTATTCACATACCTGCATATTTTCGGGAGGATAACAAAGTGGACAACTAAAACGCAATATCAAAATGTTAAGAATAATTAAAAAAACATTAAAATTATTTTTTTTTAAACGCTTACCTATAGTAAATATGAACAAAAAGGTGTAAATTGGAAAGAAATAGCTAAGAATTTTTCCACACATAAATATACGTCTTGAGTGCTATATTGGGATACAATTAAATATTATATAACCTTATAACATTTAATTCGTTAAAAAGTCCAACATACATTTAACCGTCCGACCATCATGAAAATCCCAGCAAAAATGTACGACACGCAGGCAATCGCATAAACAGTGGCTAGTACAGAGACAACCACCATTATAGCATATTTTCCATCAGTAGCAGCCGTAGTGGTCCAGGTGACAACCGTGAAATACACCCCGCTTATCAAGCAAAGAGCTCCAATAACTATGCTCCATATTCCGTAGAACACTACGCAGCACTCATCTGAATCTTCGCCAGCCGCTCCACACATTTCTGAAATCAATAAAATAAATTCACTTTAATATTTTTGTAAGTGGGTTAAGAGTAGTACGTATTAGAGATAGTGAACTATGTTGTTCAGAGGTTGTTCTATATGTCAAATATCTGGTGATGACTAACAAATATGTGGTAAAAAATAATTTCGAGTCACGCAGAAGTAACTTTGAGAAGTGTCTCCGAAGTGGCTAATTTTTTCCCGCCGGGAGTCACTTTCGCGAACCGAATGCGATATCGCGGACGATCTTTTTCAACTTCTTGAACTCACTAAATAATGCCTTTCACGACATTAAATGATTGCAGAGTATGTGTCTGCCGCTGTTTTAGAGCTATCAAGAGAATACTTCTGAAGAAGTCTTATTTTGATTGTACGTAGTATATACGTGTCAACAGGCCGGATCAAACAAATATATCCTATAGCTACCATAGGAAGGATGGTATTTGTTTGTTTTAGATGTTCCTATTACATGTTTTTGATATGAAGACTGTGTCATTTAGATTACATGAAATATATAATAGATTCGTTGCATTTGATTATATTATTTTTTTCTCTGGGATATATAATTTTTTTAGATTTTAAAGTTACAAATACACGAACCACCCGAATATTTATGTATAAAAGATATTATATTTAAAATCGTATATTAAAAATTACACAAGCTTACAACAATTTATTTATTTTCTAGTTCCGCTTTGAAATCCAATGTCCAATAATAACATTTATATATATATATATCTTTGGCATATTGCTTAAATAAACGTACTGTATTAATTGGTTCTTCCAATCAAACTTACTTTATCACTGAGTCATTTTAAACTGTATATAGGATTTTAATGAATTTATTTATTAAAAAAATTTGGCATTGCTATTGTCCTGGCATGATTTTTAAGATATTTGTTAAACCAGTCTACATATTTAAAATGTGGCTTAATTTGGTTAAAACAGTTTTTAAATGTATTTTTTATTACTGCCTTTTCATTACCAAGTTTCTAATGCATAAACTGCAAACTTATAATTATGAATCGGATGTATCACCCTGGTATAACATCCTTCAGGAGAGGAGTCCATAAATGTCACCGATTACACGTTTAATATTTTAAATCAGAAATTCTGATAAAAATCGATTTGAGTTATTTAAATCCATATCTGTTATCCAATTAATTTATCATAATTTATTTTCGGAAAATACTACTATAATTAAGAATTTGGTGAAGATCCAATTATTTTAAATTCGAATCGACTCGGAATGTTTTGAAACATATGAGTTGACATAAGGCATTTCCCTGTCGATCGAAATATAATGTTGATTTTTGCAGGGCTCAATTTCGAATCGAAGGTGAATACCTCTTTTTCGGTACAAAAATTAATTTAAAATATTGAAACTGAAAATTTGTACGGCACAGAAAAATTGTAACACCTTGTGAAAGGGTATACGAAGAACTGGGGGAACTCAATAACACCGTCCGTTGCCTAGCGTCGTCGTCATCGTCGCAGTTCGCAGTTCGCGATTCGCATTGTGCGCTAGTTTAGTGGGTTGAGTGACACAGACACAGTTTGCGGCTAGAGCGAGACGGGAGGGAGTGGGAAAGGGAAAGGAGAGAGGGTAGCGATCAAGTTGTGAGTTGCCGTGTTTGAGGCACTGTTGCGATTTTGTAATCGCCAGCCAAGTGTCGTTGCAGGGTTGCCACATGATTTAAATTCTACTCTGAAAATGTTATGTATACAGTCCGAACACGGAAGTACATATACCCAAAGCAGTAAAAAAAAGCGTACAAAGTTCTATGGGAGCTGAAATGTTTATCTATTCTGGAGTTTGCCTGATCCATTCGAAAAAAAAAATGTACAAATATTGTGTTACGAAAGTATGCTTGGTTTTATAAGACAAAGGAACCTTTTGTAGCCCTAGACTCTATTGATAAAAAAATTGTGAAAATATTGTTTTAAGAAATTAAGCTTGTTTATAAGACAAAGGAAACAGTTTTTAACCCTAGACTTCATTGGTATATAAACAAATAAAAACAGATGGTCAGATGGTAGAGACGAAATTTAGTGCATAATATCTAATATTATAAAAAGAACTTGCAAAAAAGAAATCGGATTGGAAATAAAGAAATTTCCGAGCATAAAGTAAGTAAGTATTTTTTTATGGCTCTAGAAAACTTTTATTTTTTAAATTTCTAGATACATATTAAGTATACGCAACACTCTGAAAAATTCTTTAAGAATAAATTCAAAATTTTAATTTAATTTTCTGTTTTCAATGAAAAACAATACTTTTGATTTCTTTGAAACCTATACCATCTGGCAACTTCTTTACCCACTTAACCCATGCCTTATAAAAAGTAGCCGAAAGGGAAGGCTGGCGAAAAAAGTGCACGTAGAAAACAGAAATGCCAAGCGAAAAGAAAAACTCCCCAACGAGCATTGCAGTTCTCCAGGTCCCTGTCGCTCTCCCCAACCCTCTCTCTATCTCTCTCTTTCTCCCATTGCCGTCTCTTTCCATGGCTGTCTCCATTTCCATCGCCCATTCCAGAACCGAGCTCCCAACTCCCCGTTGAAGTTGTAGTATGTTTTCGGGATGTGGAGTATACCACTAGGATGGATGGATAGCTCACACAGATACGGGGCTTTTCCTGTCTGTGTGTGTGTGTGTGTGTACGAGCGTACCTCTGTGTGAGTATCTGCGTGAGTGTGGGTGTGAGACGAAGCGAATCGAGTCGAGAGTAGAGTAGGACAAAAGGGAGACACAATTTTGGTAGCAATGACCTTCACCGCGTTGTTCAAGTTGTCGTGCTTGTTGTTGCTGCTGCAGCTCCAATACACTCACACACATACACACATTTTATGCACACACAGACAGGAAAAGCAAATGCAGATAAAGAGAGCGATAGAGAGAGGAAGGCACAATGAATGATGCATGAGTGCAGATGGTTGTGGATTGTTTTGCTGTGCGAAAAAGGGGGAGGTGTTTGACTCGCTGTTTTGGCCGCTAGGTGGCGCAATCGCCCACTCCCTCTTGACGAAGCACGTAAAGAAATGCATGGTTCTTGAAGGAAATGGATTAATTAATAATCTTAAGTGATATTCAAACATTTCTTTGGAAAGAAACTAAAGAATTTTTAAAAACAAATATTGATATTGAAATGATGTTTGCTAAGCTGAAAGAATATAATAATGCATTTCCTTAACAGGAAAATTTGATACAAAAAAAAAAGTTTATTTGTTTTTATATAACAAACTGATACATTTATTTGAATATTTAAAAATTTGAATAAGTATGCGATATTTTTAGTTAAGTATCTTATCGAGATTTATCAATAAAGAAATGTATCAAATTATTTAAAACCTAAAATTTAAAACGTTACATTAATTTTGACATTAATTTCAAATCAAAAATATTTTTTACGTGCATACTCTACCCTCTCAGCCCGAATTGGCCGCTTTTCCCGCTCGCTTTTCACTGCACAAATTAAACGTACAAAAGATAAAAGTGCTTTTGTGCTGTCATTGGAAATGGAGTTGTGGGTGGAAAAAAGGCGATCGGGGGGCGGTGGGTCATTTGTGGCTGGGGGCAGAAGGTGGTGAACCTAGCGTAAACTTGACACTGACGTTATATGCACTCCACCCGCCCGCTCCATTTTCCCACTCTTTTAGCCCCAGGGTGCGGCCCGTCGTTTTTTGTTTTCCTTCTCTTCTTTCATTCGAGTCTTGCCTCTGTTATTCTTTTTTTCTGCATTTTATTTTTTTTGTATTATTTTTTTTTTTTGTGAAAATTGCTCAAGTGCGACGCAGACACGGTGGGTGGCAGGCGGGGGGTTTTGCATGGAGTTTGTGGGCTGGTTGGGTGTTTAACTTTTGGTATCATTGACCTGGAGTTCTGGAGTTTCACAAGCAGACAAAAAGAACCTCCCCCACTTTTCTGGGTGGGTAGAAAAATGGGTAAAGGTGCGGGGGAGGAGGGTAGTTGGAGTCGAACGGTTAGTCATTGTCGACGCCATTTTGGAAAATTTGTCGCAAGCGCATACAAATGCATAAACATACAGGCACATGGCCAAAAGGGATGTACATATGTCTCCATGTAAACATACATATTTGCGTTGAGCTTTATATTTCCCCCACTTTACAATAGGTTAGTCTGTTATTGTTCTGTCTGTGAGGATTAAAATTTGTCCGTGTGTGCTCGTCGCATATATCTCCACATATATATGAAAGTATAAAGAGTATGTATGGCAAAAAGTTTTCGCTTTTCGTTGATTTTCATTTTAATTGTGGTGTCCCTTTTTATTTTAATTTACTTTTTTAAGTTCGCTCATCAGATAGTTAAACTGTCACATGGAAAAGTGCTGAAGTGGAAAACTGGAGAGGTGGGGATACCCGATGACAAATTAAGGACAATGTAGATAGAAGGAGAGGAGTCAAGATAGCACTTTGTAATATTTACTTTTATAACTCCCTATGTTAAGAATTATAGATATTTATAGAATAAATGTTTTTTAAAATGAATTATTAGGTTTTTTTCTGTAAATCTCCTTAAACTTAACTAATCGTTATATTTCTAAGGTTTCTATTGCTTAAACCTAACTGTGGTTAAATAAAATATTATAATTTTATTAAAGCAAAATCGTTTCTCTTAAATTAAGTATTAAGCTGAAAATACTTCCGTGGAAAGGCATGAAAGTTTTTAAATATGTGGATATGTTTTTTTAATATTTCACTCTTGGTTTAAGTACAACTTATTATAGTCAGCCACTGTTAACTAAATGATTAACCCTTTCAAAGATTCATTTTCGGATCTTTCGCCATAGTTTCCTATCCACCATCATATGTTACTAAGAATTTCTGATTAATAGTATTCTACAAAAATTAAACTACTAAAGATTCCTTATAAAGATTACCACACTGCCTCTGCCGAGTTGAGTCCATTTAGTTCTTCAAATAGCAATTGGAAAATTCCCAGTTCATCTGCAATTCACTCATTTGCAATTCAAACTTGTTTCCACAGTTACTGCTATCCGAGTGCAAATCTCAGCTGTCCATTATCGTTGGGCATCTGTCCTCCATTTCACCCCACTGGCACCTTGGCCGGCAGATATCAGATGGGTACACAGTTGGGGCGCCGGCAAATGGAGCACTCAATGGACTAGGCCAATTAAAAATCCAGTTCAAGCTCAGCCAGTGCAGCGTCATCATCATGGACATCATGGACATCATAGACACCATGGACATTATAGACACCATGGTCCTGGGTCTTCCGATGGTCGGGGTCTGCAAACAGAAAGGCCACGGGTGCGTCTTGGTCACACAATAGAAACCTGCCAATGCATAAAGCAAATCATAAATGGCTTTTATTTCTGGCCTACAGTAAGAGCATTACATGGATAAACAAGATGTTTTTGGAATACATATGAAAAACCAAAATAAATATGATCTTAACTTTTACCATTAAACTTAGTATTGGTAAAAGTTAAGATCATGTTTATATTCATTTTTTTCCTTATATTCAACTAAACTAAAATTACTTTAGACAAGTTTCTATTTCACTTTGTATAAGGTTCTTCTTTTATTTAACAATATGATAAAATATTTATTTATTACGGAAATAAATAAAGATATATGGTTTGTAATATTTGAACGACCATGCGACTTCCCAATCTCCGCTGTACTTGTGCACCCTGTGCCAGGTACCATCCCTCCATTCCTCCTCCCAGCCAAGGTTGATGAATACCAGACCAGTTTGGATCAGGGGGACTCATAGGGAGTGTCGGAGGAGGGGTTCCAAGGTGGCGGTGCAGGAAGCCGCTGCAAGAAGCACCGAGAATGCCATGGCCATGGCCATCGTGGCGCAGTGTCAGTGTCAATGCCAGCAGAGCCGACCTGAAACTGGGTGAGAGTGTGGGAGGGGAACCGGAGAACCATACAACCGGGGAGCTGGAGAACAAGAGGCTCTGAGAATCGGAGGAGCGGAGCGAGAAGCCACCTCGGCGCTGTGGAATGCAACAAAAGCTGCAGCCACGATTCCAGCGATTATAACATCGGCTAGCGACTCGAGAGGCCATTAGCCCGAGTGCTAGGGCCCATGGCTTTGGCAGTTGAAGAGGAGAAGACTCCCAGCCAGAGAGAACTCTACGGTAGCTCTCTCTCGGTTCCCCATATCCAAATCTCGGCTTTTCGCTAGTGACGACGCCTGCGCTTATCGTTCTTTGGACTGGTGGTGTTCAATGCCAAAGAAGCGAAGCTTCCGAGGTGCTCTATCCCAGGTGTTATTAGTAAGATTATGTGGTATATTAGGGATCTTAAAACATACCATAGAACCGATCACTTTTTGAATTTCATATTATATTTAACAAACTAACTAACTAACTTTAAGTTATTGTGTATTACATAGATTAAAGAGTTCACCACTATCTCAGGTGTTATAAGTAAGATTGATTGGGATATTAGCGATTTTAAAGTATACCAAAGAACCCATCATCAATTGCATTTAATATACTATGTGTTGATAATTTTAAGAAAATAACTAAGAGAACAAGTTTTGTATATGATTAATGAGTTATTCACTATCCCAGGAGTTATTAGTAAGATTATTTAGGATATTAGGAATCGGGTAATATACCATAGCATCGATCATTAAATTGCATTTAATAGATTATATATTGATAACTTTAAGAGTATAGTAATACAAGTTTTGAATATGATTAATGAGTTGCTGTTACTGTTATAAATATATCAGAATTGTAAGTAACCATTTCTATGGACAGATAATAGTCCATTTTTTACAAATGCCGTGGATACCTAAAAATTCCATTACCTTAATAAAAATGTAAGCCTCTATCACATGTCCCTGATGGATATGTCATGGTCAGATTACCCCACAGTAAAAATTCGGCCCTCCAGTAAGCCCAGAGTGACCATCCAATGCTTTCCAAAATGATTGGATCAAGGTGGAACAAAAATAGAGGCAAGAGAAACCGAAGCGTTTGGCTTGAAGCTTGTTGATTGAAAACTTACCCACAAATTATGCGCTAGCGAAAAACGTGTTTGGCTCACAGAGCTGGGCATTAAGTCAACTGGACTGACTTGGACTCGGAATCCGGGAACTGGGAACTGGGAACTAAGAACAGGGAACTGCGATTGGGAACCACGCTCAACGTTCGTCGACCTTGCAACTCGTTCTGCACATTATGCTTATTTATTTTTGTTTTTCCAGCGATAGGTAAACGTAAGCCCAAGACCCATTAGTAAATGTGGGAAGGAGCGGTCGGTGGTCGGTGGTCGATGGCAATATACTTTGTTCAGATAGCATCGTCGCCGGTTGGCGTGATGGTCATTGAACCGCCAACCGGACAAGTACTTTTTATTTAACCCCCAAGCAACCGGAGGCGGAAAACTCCAATGCCCAAAAATACATATCCTGGTGCCATAAGTCGCAGTAGATTTCCCTTTCTACTGCTGTCTGGTCTTTACGTTCTCGACACTTCGGTACAGTTTGCCCCATCGTTGGATATATATCTGCTGGCAGTCTGGCTGCGACTTCCAACTCCCAACCCAAACTCCAGCTTTGAATATAACTCCGTTTTCTGCTGCTCCACTACCCCAAAGCTTCGAAAAGGAAATATTTTTCACAGTCGTTATGTTGGCGTTGGTCGGAAAAGGGAAGGGATTTTGCCCTTCGAGCTGCTCTGTGCAGTTTTTTAGCTGAAAATAGTCTTGGCTTGATTGAAGATTTTTTAGAGAGTCTTCTATAAATATTTATATGCAATAGGACCATCATCTATTGCAAAGAAATTATTTGTAGCCTACTTTTGTGCTGACAGACAGAATGTAAAGTTCTTAAATAAATATTTTAGGCTTAGATTTTTTTTTTAAATATGAGAGTAATAATATAAATTTAAACAAATTTTAATACTATACTTAGTTATTGATATTAAATATAGAAAAAAATATATTTACCTCTGTAGGCATGTATTTATACATTAATCCTGTGAAATTTAATTTGAAATTAATAAAAAAAAGCTAAAATATTTTTATTTAAACAAAAAAATGTAAATGTTATATATTTAAAACCATTAAAAGTGGATGCATTATTATATTATCCTCAATTTTAACATTTTAATTTTTAAATTGTTGCTAAACAAGTAATGGCTATTATAAAGGTATAAGTAAAAATTTGCAGAATTATACCATTATAAAGTATTTTCGATGTTTGATAAAAGTTAGAGTTAGCCAGCCTAAAGAAGACTGCACTTAGGCTCTCCAAAAAATTCATCGAAATTAGCTGACAAAAAAATTGGTTTATCAAAGCGAAATCAGATTTATGGGGCTGTTTACTGAAAACCCAGAGCCCCGGTCACATGCTGACTACCCACAAAACTCGAAAAAAGCCCCAGACGATGAATTGCAATCCACAGCTGCTGTCCTGTCCGACTCCAATTTCTTCAAAAAGAGAAAGAGAGGGAGAAAGGACACAGAGAGAGAGAGCGAAAAAACCGAAAAAGCATTTCGTCGTTTTTAGCTGGCACGAACAGATCAATGACCTGCATTTCACAGCCGGAGACACAATTCAATCGATAAAAGTGAAGAGTTGGGGCACCAGCTCACACAGACACTGCACACACACAATGCACACACACACACACACACACACACACTGACACAGCAAGGAAAAAACAACATGGCGAACGTGAAATATGCAAGCTTCCTGCAGGAAAAGCCAAAATGGCAGACAGCATGCGGCGAACGTGACGCAGTGCAGAAAGAAGGTTCAAAGGGGGCGCGGGGATCATAAGGGGGTCAGAAAGGGAGAAGTGGGTGGCGGGCGGCCCACGGGGTCAGAGGTGATGGTGGCGCTCCAGGGGTGGCTGCAGCCGCAACGGAACTTTCTAAAATTTCTAGAACAGCAGAACAGCAAACAGGAAGGACGCTAAAAGTGGAGCGAGAGTGAAGCCCGAATATTTTATTCCTTTCAATCAGGGCGCACAGGCCACGGGCCAAAAAGGCTGATTAAAAATTCAGCAAATGGGGGGGAAAACAACTATCCTGGCCAACATCCAGCAGGGTTCCCAGCCAGACAGACCTAGCCAAATGCATTGGAGCGTTAAATAAAATAGCAATAAACATATTCATATAAGGAACAACCCTATAACAAACACTCAATCCATTGACTGTTGTCTGGGCCACCGTACTTCGTACACCCCCCGGTATCTCCATAATTCCCATCGAACTGACCAAAATGTAGACAAAGGTAATGCTTAAAAGTTTTTGTCAACTTTTCTTGGGGGCTTATCGGGGAACTTACCGCCTGTCTGAGATTTTTTCGGGGTTGTTTCTGGCCAAACGGGAAATTAATGATGTTTCTAGGGATTTACTTGACTTGCTTTATATCATTCTAATATGTTCAACCTGTGATTTCTCTATAGTAATGTAATAAATTGTTTCGAAAATCACGTGAAAAATACTTTCTTAAATTTTGTATTTAAATATTTTAAATTAGGTATATTTAAACAACAGCTTTACTTACTCCATGCATATACGTGCATTTTTAATTTGGAATCGAACAGTTTCTTAGCCATCAAGCGGATTATAGCCAAAGAAAATAGACAGACAAATCACAATAAATAGGCATATTAAATACAGAATTAAGAATCCAAAGGTAATGTATAAACAGGCAGCCAAAAGAATCAGCATTTTCACTAACACGATGTAATTTGGATTGAAATGAGGGATTAACCGGGATGTTTAGCACACCGTGACCACACGCGGAAATTGTTACATAAGAAATATTCACGAATTTCAGGAATTTTGATTTGTATATAAAGACAATATTTTATCAATTTAATTATATAATGACTTTTGACAGTTGGTCAGGGTTATCGATACCTGATAAATAGTGACAGTGATCAATTTTTGATTTTGGGTCAGTAATAATTATGCTATCTTATCTAATAACAAATACATGCTAGCACCTAGTTTTTTTAGAGCAACGCTTCAAATGTTTCTTAATATATCCAAAAACATCGGTATTTATAAACGTATTTTCTTAGCAAATTATAAAAAAAGTGCCCAATAAATTCAAGTTTCTTTATAAATACTGCTTTTAATTTTTACAACATGGCTTGTTTGATAAAGAAAGCTCTAATAGTAATAAAAAAATGTAAGAACCTAATTATCAAAATTGAACATTTTTCAAAAGATTGCGGTTTTGATTAGATATCTGACGTAGATGGTTGGAAAACAGAGTTTGTTCATTTTAGGGTATTGACATACAGTTACATTATTGGGAAAGGCTGCGCACATTATTAATTGACATTCCCCAATATTCATCATCCTACCCGTGGGCCCAGGAGGTGTGGCAAGTCAATTAGCCTTACTAACACACTCCCACGCCACATTTTTTTCGGGCTGGCCCGTTGTTGTTGTTGGTTCTGATGTTGCTTCTCGAGTTGCGCTCTGAAATGAAAACTGCAGCGAAAGTCGGGGCATGGAAAAAAGCGAAATTTTTTGCAGTCATCCCGAAAAGTGCAGCCCTGCAAAATTGGAGTCATCCTGGCTGGCTCTCTCCGAGGGACTCTCCACTGGAGTCTCGCTCCCCCTCACTCTAACTGCATCGCTCCATCTCTGTCACTTGCAGACACAGACAGTGGGAGTATGGGGATTTTCGAGGGGAGTTCAGTTCGGTTTTGGGGAGTTGCCCGGAGTTTGGGACTCTACTGTCTGGGCAACACCCTGCACCCGAACCCAAAAACTCAGTTTCGAACTCCGCCCGCAGAGTTGCCATGACAACCAACCGATATTCCAGAGTCCAGACTGGGTGTTGTTGCCAAATCCCGGCACTGAAAATACGAGCAAAATATCCAACTTCTCCCCCGATGCGCAATGGGTCAGTGTACAATTATTTTGTCAAATAAAAAAATCAGTAGAGAGTAGGTTATGGTGGGAGTTATAGGTGATTATTGAGTATTTGAGGGGTTTGGCGGAATTTAATTTATATAAAGTTAAGATTACCAATAAAAATGTGTAAAATCAAAGTACAACTAAAGATATTCCTGTGTAAATGGGACTGAAACCTTTTTCTATCACATGGATCCATGATAAAGCGTAACACATATGACATAAGATGTACATCTAAATGCAGTTCGTTAAAATATATCAAATATTTATATATATATATGCATCAAATTTCTAATAATTTATGAAAACCTTTCTTTATTAGGTTATATTAAAAATTCAATTTTAAGTTTTAAGGGGCTTTGCACAATTTTTAATGTATCCCTTTACACTTTACATAGAAGGATTTAAAAGGCAGGTACTGACTCTATTATTTTTTATTACAGGACTTACTTTAAGAGTTGCTTTGCATTACATTCTTTAATGTGTTTTTAGGATAACCAACACATCGTATTCTTAATTTTGTTCACTCACAAAATGTCCATAAATAAATAAAAACTTGGGTTTGGTTTATTGCCCTTGCTGTCTTTGTGCTACTTGTGGAATTATTCCGAAGTAACCATTTCCCATAAAGATTTCCGGTTCACCGGGTCCACTGCCATCCGGATTGGTCTTCCAAGTGATCGTTAGACAAGGCTCCCCCTCTTTAGGATCCTTGGGTATGGTTATATGATAATTCTTCGCATCATCCGCACTTATATTATGTTTAATTAAGATAACGGGTTGTTGAACTGGCGGCATTTGTTGATTGGTTGGTTGTTGTTCATTAAGATTCACTAAAAAGTGGACATATAAAATAAAAATGTTTATATTTTAAAGGGGGTTTTCCCCATTTTGAAGAAAACATATTTTAGCCGTTCTATTGAGTAAATCTTTATTATTTATCCAACTTTGAGGCTATAACATCCGCATTTGAGTTCGACTTACATGGGTGGCTCCACGCGCAGACTATCAGCAGCGGATAGAAAGCCAGCAACTTGTGCAACGCCTCTGATTTCATAATTTATTAATATGCGGTCTATGTGGAAATATAAACAAATACTGTTGTTGTCTGGCCTCCTATACTAGATGCAGCGGTTCTGAATTATCTTTCGATGACGACGACCCGTCCTCACTCCAAGCAGCCTCAGCTCAAACTGTTCGAATTGTCGGAGCTGCTCTGAGTTTTGATCTCCTCCCGCCCTCCCTACTCGCCACTCTACCTGGTATTCACTACTTATCAACTTTTCCTGAATGAACCAAATCTATTTGTAAACAAAGCGGAGCGCAGTAGCATCGATCCCAGATTGTGAATCGGGAGCTGATAATGGATTTCATTTCTGAGAACAAAAGAAAGGCGTGTGCAGCAGCTTTTACGGGTTCATCGGTTGCTGAAGATATCAATAAAAATTGGAACATGTACTTTGGTCTTTGCAGTTTCGATAGCGCAGGTAACGCAAATCAAATTCGAAATCATTCTAAAGCTCCAACAGGAACTATGGGATAAAATTTAAAAATTCACATATTGATGAAATTTTGCGTAGTACAAAGTTTTTGACATGAATTTTTGCAAATCTTTTTGTTTGGTGTATAATTTTATTTAATATATATAAAATTAATTAACTTTTCAAGTAAGATTTAATAAAATTCAAAAACTCACCGTGGCTCTGAAACGATGTTGTCTATCTCCATATCGGTTTTTCTAAGCTCTAGCTTTAACTCTTCTAATTTAATCTCAATCATTTTTTTCTTTAAAAGAGTTTTGAACTGACTCATTCCATCTATGGCTGATTTTTAAGTGAAGTGGGGAATGGAAGAAGGGCAAGGAGCTAGAACTAGATGAACTAGATGAAGAACTTAATTAGGTGTCTTTAACTATTTCATATTTCCTATGATTGGGTCCCGTTTTGCGGAGTCTAATTTTTAATTTATCATTTTAAAATTGTTGCGACCTTCTCCCCCTTTTTTCTGCTATTTTTTATATAATCCATTCTCGTTCTTATCTGTTCCTACACTTTTATCAAGCTCAAAAATTCAATATTTTTGAATCAAGTTCTTCCTCTTCATGAACATGAGTCATATTTTTCCTGAGCTGGTAACACCAACCTCGTCTTTCTCTTTGATGAGACAGCATTTTTTCGGTCTGGCAATGCTTGATTCTTTTAATTTCTGAGAAATTTTAAAAGAATAAATGGTTTGAGTATACGCTATTTATGCATTGAATGTTATTTATTGGTGTTAAGTCTCTGTTAGGCTTAACAGTTTACGCAAACATTATTTGAAATGTAAACTGCTTGAATATATAGATGTAGAATGACATGTTAAATAATACGTACAAACAAGTTATAAAGCAGTGAAGTAAGGTAAATGTAAGCTTATGTAAAATTATTTATTTTATTTAAAAATAATGTAAAAGTTTTAAAAACTAAACAAGGAAATAAATAAAAAATATATTTGTCTATATGTATTAAAACCAAATAAAATAACGATGCTTAGCTTAAAATTTTATGGGTCTAAATAGGGAATAAAGTTGTAAAAATAGAATCTTTCTTTCTATTAATAGATATTATTAGGTTTACTTTGAGAATTAAATTGCTTGTTGTAGAAAAACGCAAGAAAAAGTAAAACTCTTTGATAAAGAGGGTATAAATGGTAAAATTATACCGCCTAGATACAAACATTAGTAAAATAAATAGGTTATAGACATACTTAAAGTTACCCAAGAAACAAACTTTCCACTAATATTTAATTTTTGCTTTTATTTAGTATTTTCTTAGCTTACAGCGAAAAACATGAAACACATTTTTCAATTAAATTACAAAAAACTAAACAAACAAGCTTAGCAATTAATCTAAGTGTCTTTAATAGTGAAATCTTAGCGCAACAATAATTAATTTCCGTTAGGTTGAATAACGCTTTTAATATAAAGTACTGCTAACAATAACATACAGATATCGATTCTATTTGAAACTCGCTCATTTCGCCATGACTTAAACTTAATTATAAATAACAACTTGTGTCGTTTTGATTTTTATGTATTTTACAAATGTTGCTTTATAATGCTTAAGATTATTTTGTTTCTGTTAAATAAGAATATTGCAAATTAATTATGTATTGGTTGGTACTCCAGGGTTTTCGTGCATAATTTTTTTCGAAGTGCGGGAGACTGGGGCGTGGTCTAAAGGGCACTTGGGGAGGTATATAGAAAATCAAATACTTCTGGGGAACTCAATTCGAATTAAATACTCTTGCCTTGCCCGTGGACGGAAACCGTTGCTTTCAGAAATTTTGGTCTATGCCAAACGAATAATATGCATCTTTCTTGGAAGACAAATGAAAATGAATTTTCAATTTGCAGTTGGGAGTTATTAGTTAATTAATTAATGAGAGACACCCACAAAAGTTTCTCATCTTAACTTTCCTATGTGTCTTTTTTGCTACTGTACACAGTCTTTGTATGTTTTTTTTTTTCTTTTTTCGTATGCTTGTTTGTTAAAGGACTTAAATCTAAATGCTTGAAACCATCTTACACTTCGGTGCTGTGCGTCTGAATTCGGACTTTCTTAACACTTCCGTTTCGCCGCATCGGTGGCGAACTGCCGGATCCAGAATAACCGGGATTTTGAATGCCCAACGTTGGATCCGGCCGGGGTCTCGGTTTTTTCAGGCTCGAGCGGAGTGGCGACCGAGTCACCGAGTCGAGGGTGGACCCATTGGAGACGCTGGTGACCGTGGTGCTCATGGAGGCCACACTGCCCGCCGTTCCCGCTCCATTCCGGATTCCACTGTACGGTTTTCCGGAGGCGTCCGTCACCGAGACGCCGTTGCGACTGCGCGGCTCCTTGAAACCCGGATTATTGAACGTGGTGGCACTGCCAGGAGATGAGGCATCCAGCGCCATCGTGGGATCTCCACCGGGACTGCGCGAATAAATCACATCGTAAAGGGCGGCTACAAACAGAGCGATGGTCAAAACAATCGCCACGATCTGTAAAAATATTATAATATATTATAAATGTCATAATAAAAGTTAAAGGCATTCGAAAGATTTCTCTATTTTTCCAACATATAAGGGTTTTTATTATAACATTACTTTAAAATATTGCATTTGCTCGTCAACATTGTGGGACTGCTTCCAAAAAAAAGGTATTTCTTTCTGAACGTTATTTAATTATTTTTATTTTTTGATTCACCAACAGTTTTGTTTAATATAAAAATAAAGAAATAAAGAATTCAGCGATTCAAATGTTAACATTAAATTATAGAAAAACCAAACAACAAAACAGGGAAATCTTTAGATTGCCTGATTATTGCTCACGCAACTGCCTGAGTAATTAACCATTAATCACCTGTATATAGAAGGAAATGCCCCGCGATATCTTGAAGCCAAAGCGCTCCTGCTCATCAATTTGCAGAGCAAACAAGACCGTCGCTATGATGGCCAGTACACCTGGAAATATTTCAATTAAATTACGCTTTTTTATCGTTCTTAGCCAATCCCATCTGAACTCACCTCCCAGCAACGCCAACATTAACTTCACTATCACTAGAGTTGTGTAGGGCATTACCACCTTCTCCCTGGATGAGATCATCGCGTGTTGAATGACCGACAGAATGCAGAAGATGCCCAGCACAGCTGAGCTGCCAATGGCCAAAAGTCCACTGACGAAAACTGCATCTAAAAGGGGAGGATTACAAATATAGAAAAATATTAGTAATAATAATTAAATAAAATCAAATAAAATCATTCCCATTTAACAGTTTACGTTATATAGTTTATTAAAGTTAATAAATCTTCAATTTGTTTCTGTACTTTTTAAATTACTTAAAATATTTAAAGTAACCTTTCATAAAGTGTATAAACAGTTTTATAACTATATAAATACACCTAAAACTACCACTATTTTTAAAGATGTATATCTAATAAAATATTAGCTGGAATAAATATTAAGTAATTTTATACACTTACTGCTTAACCTAAACTTTGATACATCGTTGCCGCATTTCTCGCGATTGTACGTCAATTGCTTGCAGACCTTAAACGGCCCGAAATAACCTCGATCGAAGTCATAGCCGCCTGTAAATTAGAAATACGAATTAGATTGATCAAATTAAAATATTGTACAGTGGGCACTCACCCGATGGACTATCGTAGTAACCCCAGATGGGTATGCCAATGGCCACGGATGCCAAGGCGAAGCAAACAAAGCCCAGACAGGTCACCCCAGCAGCATAAAGTGTCGACTTTGCCATGTTTTACTGTACAGCATAACGATAACAATCCAATTGAGATCCAACGAGCTGAAAAGAAACGAACAGACATTAGCATTCAATTGCAAACACTTGCCTAAATGATAAAGACATCGTTCTGCCAAATTATGTTAAATGCCCATTGACTTTGAGCCACATTTGCCAATCCAAGAGATAAAAAATGTCATTGTCAAGCGCATTTGAAATGCGAACACGACGACAAAGAGGCTAAGCTGTTCCCCCAAAAAATCTTCTTACGTGCATTAGCAAATGTACTTATGGAGGAACCACCCACATGACGTACTCGTAAACATCCGAGCACTTTGTCATCCTCGCATTGAGCCGTGTGTTCTCATCACGAACAATTAGATCCCATTCATACATAAAGAGCTACTTGCCGCTGACCTTGAGATTGCATAAAAAAAGACCAAGAAAAAATAATGCTTACGCAGAGAAATATCTATCTCTGTGTAGGTCGTTTACACGTATCTGTATCCAAAAGATACACAAAAGCTCTCCATTCAGTTTTTCTTTGCTTGCTTTTTTCTGTAAGCGGATTTCAGCCATAAACCGATTTCCTCTTACATGTAATTAAATGGTATTTTAGAACACATATTTCTAGAGTATCAATATCTTTAGCTACCCCTAAAGACAACTTTAGCCCGAGAAATGCTAGTTATTTTTGACAGCTCTCAGCTAATTGATGGGCTATTAAAGCCCGCGTGCAAAAATAGCATTTAGGAGGTAATTGGCGTAACGATATCAACGTATACGTATTTTCGAAAAGTGAACGTTAAGTATAGGTGATATGGATTCATGTGAAAATAGCAGTACAAAGACTGTGCGCTAATGAGATACTTTAAATTCTAATTGTTCATTTATGTAATTCTGATCAGTCTAGATATTTTGACAAACATTTCA